GTTCATGGTTGTGTCAGGTATTGCCAACTGGGCGGTGTTGTTATGTCCTAGGTTGGTCATGCGCCTTAATGGATCCTTCTCCAAGGCGTTGAAAAGGCACATTACCCTTCCGGCTATGCATTCCACAAACAAGAACGTACCACCCAAGCTTTTCGGCCTTCCCCATGGACTCCTTCCTACCCGAGCCGAGTCATTGATTATTTTTCTGTTCTGGGTGTACATGATTTTGGGAAGCAGTATTGGGTTCCATCACGTCAGCGGCAACCCTATCTGGAAGAGGCCTATGGGTGAAATAGGACGACTCGTCGCTGATCGGGCGGGTATGTTGGCGCTCTTTGTGTATCCAATGCTGATTTTGTTTGCGTCAAGGAACAACGTCTTGATGTTCTTCACCCGATGGAGCTATGCCAGATTCAATACCTTACACAGACACATGGCTCGTATCTTTTTTGCATTGGTTATTACTCACGGAACCGGCATGACTATTAACTCATTTGGAATTTCGTCAACAAAGTACAAGACCAGGTTACAAGAGGGTTACATCTTGTGGGGTGTTGTTGCAGCGATTTTCATGGGGTTCATGTTGGTTCAATCCATACTCGTCTTGAGAAGAAAGTCCTACGAGGCCTTCTTGATGGTGCACATTTTATTTGCGATTGTTATTATGATTGGCATCCACTACCACATCAACTCCTTTGGTTACCAGGGATTTACCTGGGTCACCATCGGTATTTGGGGATTGGATAGGGTAATTAGATGGGGCCGCATGTTTAGCTTTGGTGTAAATGAGGCGAGCGTTACGTTAGTTGCCGGCGAAACCTTGAGGGTGACGGTGTCAAAGCCAAAACACTGGAACTCTCAACCTGGTCAGCATGCGTTTGTGTCCTTCATGATGCCAGCTTGCTTCTGGCAATCGCACCCATTCACCGCGATTTCCTCCAACGAGAATGAGCTCAGTTTTGCTATCAAGGTCAAAGGTGGTGTCACCCTGAGCTTGTACAAGCACTTGGTTTCCATGCCTTCTCAGACTGCAACCATCAAGGTATGTGT